AAAAAAAAAAAAAAAAAAAAAAGAAATAAATAAATAATCCCCCCTCCAAACCAACTTAAAAGTGAAGCACTAAGGCTGTTCCTGCATGCTTTTGGAGTTTGGGACCTGATGTTGGATGCAAAAGGACTTGTAATCAACAACATATACAGCCTCTTCTGGTCCTGTTAAGGGTTTTCCAGGATGAGTTTAAAGGATTGTAGAATTTCTTTTTTTTATTTTAAAGACATGAATCTTGTATACTCAGCAGGTATTCCCAATAAACAACGGCAATGGGATGCTATGACAAAAATATGGTGGTAAGGCAAACCTGGTAAATCCAAGGGAAACCCATTACAGAGTGCACAGAAAAAAGGAGAAAGAAGGAAAGAAAGAAAAATTCATCAGTACAGGTAATAGTCAAATAAACTTTTTTCTCAACAATCTTCTTGTATTTAAAAGAAACCAATTATACTTCCAAGTCACTTGCAGAAAATTTTAATAATTTTCCAAATATACAGCTATTAGAATGACCCTAAATATTACTAATAATTATGTTACAAAAGTTGGCAGGTAGCACAGCACAATGTCCTATAGAATAAACATAGGTAGTATTAACAATGCTCCCTACGGTCCAGGAATGTCAGAAAATAGCAAATGAAATTACAAACACAGATCAGAGGAGATTAAGGGGCACTTTTAGACACTTAGATCAAAGAAACTGAGACTAGACTAGAGACATTCATTCATCAACCATACTGAATGTAGAACTTTAAATCTCAAAAATTATTGAAAACACATCAGGTGCAATTTCACATGGTTTCATCTACATTCCAATACAGTTCCCAGAGGATTAAAGTGTCTTTGTGCACTGTAGCTTCATTTAGTCACATGCAACACATTGCATTTGGAAGTTACTTTCTTTTTTAAAATGTGACCTATGAAATAACTACTTGAACCAATGTACATAATTCAAACTACAGTGTTTTGAAGTACCTTTGTTCTGACTTCACTACTGAATGTCGTGTAACAGGTTTAACTCCAAATCCACAAGGCCCATCTCCACTAAACAAGACCAGAGTTAAAGATATTTATTGAAATATGTTTTCTGTGGTACAACCCTTAGTTTGCTTATTTTTCCCTTTCGAACATATTTTCCCTTTGGATGACTATTTTCTACTGCAGCTTCTGTTTACAGATTGCTGTGTACATGAAAAACAGACACTATTTCACCCATGGCTATGGTGATGAATGCACTTCCCAGATACCATCCTGTCTTAACCCAATGAATAAGCACAATATATATATTGTCTGTGGGACACCCAAAGATCTGCAGCCTTTGTATTTTACTTGTAGCCATTCTCTGTGATACAGCATGGACCCAGTGTCCTGCTCAGGTCTCCTTAGGAACTCTCACTGCTCTCTGCTGTACTACCTCCTTAAACCCAAACCTCCACCTGAACTGCAGTGAGGGAAGCAAAACTCCACAAAATTCAGCTGTCACTCACCTTGCCTCCAGAACGTCCTCTTCAGCTCATGAGTAAAGAACGTGCACAAAGCCTATGGATCCAGTCTCCCATCAAATCATGCTGTCCACCAGCAGCCATTCCTGCTTGTTCAGGGGAGAGCGTATTCCCACAGTATTCGACACATTTTACGGTGTTTTTCAATAGTGTCACTTCATGAGGAGTTACAGGGCAAAAGCTTTTTAGGATATACAAATTGCCATCATGATGTCACCTGTGGCAAGGCCACTCAGGAGGAAATTGCATGTAGGGAAAAAAAACCCTAAAGAAATTAGGAGAATGAACAACTAATCCTAAATTTAAACAGCAACTGTGGATGTGAGTCTTCACTCTTCCAGTGTCATCCTACATTTGATTGTGCTTCGCATCATGAAGTGAGCAAGTCACTCCAATAATTTTAGGTTCATAATGTAAACACTCTTGCACATCTGATATGGCCAGGTGGAGCCATTCCTTCACCACTGCTGCTGTTACAGCTGAGAAGGCCCATTTTAAACTCTGCACAATCCAGACTCAGATCAGGAGCTCAGTGCAGGTGAGAAGTTTTACTGAGGTTCTAGACTCACGGCATGTTAACATTACTTACAATAGTACATGCACTGAAATATTTTCATAACATACACACTCTTTTAATCAATTTAATGGAAATTAGTGATTTCCTAATCTACTCAGTACTTTTAAAAGTTCTCCATGAAATTGTGCAATTATGGAAAAGAATGCTCTGGTTATGCACTACAGTAGAAAAAAAATGAAACAGTCCAAGTTTCATCAGAATCACAACTACAAGTAAAGTCTCCAGTTCAGTTCATAAAACAAACTGATTAAATTATTCTAATTATTTCAGTGGCATAATAACTTCCAATGCAATTTATGCAACAAATTTCACCCATATTCAAAAATACATTTGTAAATGTTTTTCATAAAATTTATACATCTCAAGTTCTCCTTAGGTAAGCCTAAGCCCAGTTCTCACATCACCTAGGCAGAAAGGCTTCAGAAGCCTATATTCTCAGAGTCCCTGAGTGAAAATACTGCATGAGTTCTGTTGGTTCTGCTAAATCCAACTCTTATTGCATATAATCATCAGTTTCCTCAACAGGCCTAGCACCCAGCTACACACTAGGCTGGGGCAGCAACCCACTGTTTTATGGGACATAAATATCTACAAGCCTTATAACCATTCCAGTAAAGATTTCCATGTAATGGTTGCCTATCCTGCATTCTTTGTCCAGAGAACAAAAGGGGCATTGCTGAGAGAGAGGGAGATCAATCATTGAGAGTACCCATCAGTTCAGTGACCCATTGTCTCCCTCTTCATTTTCTAATTACATAGAAATGTAACTCTACATTTAATGATTCATTTATTGATTTCTGTAATGCTTAATGATTTCTGTAAATACATTTCCAACTGTAACTGAAAACAATTGGCTCAGACACAAGACACATCATGTCTAAAATCTGCAAGAACAGTGTGAATGTAAGGCCTCTGCAGGCTCAAACTCACAGCTGGCACTATATCCAAACATCTCCACGGCAAGCTTTATTTACACAATTTCCAATGAAAAATACTGTTATTTCTTAAGCTACATTTTAAATTATCAGAAATACATTCATAATAACTACTGGTACAAAAACCATGATAAAATTTTTTTATTCAAAATATTCTGACAGGTTGACAATATTCCAGGCGTGTTACAAATACTGCCATAGCCAACAAAACAATCAATACTTAAAGAGCATTCAAACACTGAGGACATGTATCTTAAAGCAGAAACAGGTGAGTGCATGGTACTAAGTGCATACTAATCATTTTCCAATAACTGACTTGAGGAAAATGCCTCATTTCTCTGGTACAAAATGGATTAAAATCCAGAAGAGATGAATTATAGAGGACAAAAATGATGATGTTTAAATGGTTTTGCCCATATTTTCTTATAAAACCTTGTAACTTTATCATACAAGGCCACTACCAGTCTGGACTACTCTAGCATTGACTATTTACGGGATAGAACAACAAAACTATAACAGAGAAACCAGTGAAAAAGCAATCAAAACCACAAACTCTTTCTAAAATATGGCTTAAATTAATCAAATCACAGAGAGTTGGGAATATATTAACTATAAGGTGCAAGAGAAATACCAGGTAGGAAAAAAGTCCCTCTCTTCCTGGTACTTCCCCTGTCAGATTTCACTGTATTTCCCATAAAATTTTCAACACACTGGAATTTTCACCCTTCCTGCAAGCCCCTTTTCCCATACTTCTGAAATATCATGTTACTAAAAGGTTGGTTTCAGTCTTGAATGTATTGGCCAATTGGAGCTCTAAAGTTTAAACCATGTAATTCTATACACAGTAATACCCTGTTTCTCCCAATTAAACCAAGCTCTCAAATAGAGCTAAAAATTCAGCTTTATTAAAAAAACTATTATTTCAAGCGTATTTGCTTGAAAAATATGAATCTTTTTGTCATGTAGAAAACAGATGTCCAATGAACTTGTCAAGCTGTACACAGCTGAGTGCATAGTGAAGAACATCATACAGAGAGAGCAGCAAGGCCATAGGGTCACTAAGTCCACATGAAAAAGATGTATGTTTCCAATGACCAAATCCATTCTAAAACATTTTCATCCTGGAAATGCTTTAAGCATTAAAATCTTACTCTAGGGATGGCAAGACTCCTCCATTCCCACTTTTCATACAGCTCACTGTAATATGCATGGCAGCACAGCTACATACACAGCATACAGAAGAGATACACCAAAATTGCTTTGGACACATCATACTGATCTCAAGTCTTCAACACAGAAGTTGAATTTTTCTTGTGAAAAGGAAGGAAATAGGACAGCTTTCAAATAACACAGCTTGCCTGTATGTCACTAAAGAAACCTGCAGTGTCTGCAGCCCCAGGACGGGAGAGCCACAGCTCCACTGGCACAAGCGGTGGCACACCTAGTGGCTCCAAGGCTAAATGATCTCACAGGAGGCTCTTCCACCTGTATTGCTTGTGGTTCCAGTCAGTGCTCCCCAGCAGTGGAAGCATCAAACACTCACTGCAAAAATAAAAGTTGATTACATCCAGAAGAGCTCTGTACACTCACCCAAAACACTTGTTTCCCCATTCTATTAGTTTGCTTTTTAAAGCAATGTTGTTAGAGCAGGGCCATGAGAACAGAGTGAGACACTTTCCTTAATCACAGCATCAGACACTCCATTAACAGACTGACAATCTCCTAAACCAAATTAGCTCCTGAACATCTTGCATTTGCCTTCTTTCACTTGTACTTAAGAACAAACAGTTTCTCTAGAAGTTGTGCAGTTCAAGCCTATTATGCTATTGTACTCCAGCATTTTCTTAGCACCTCAACACAAATTACATGATAGCTCATCTGTGGTGAACATCGGCTACAGACATCCACAAAGGGGGAAGGACTGAAAGAACAATATTGTCCCATGACATGGAAAAGCACTTTGGGATGCATTGGCTTCAGGTGAGACTGCTGCTTCAGAACAGGATTTCTCTCCATGCAGAGTTACTCCAGTTATTCAAATACAGTAAACACAAGGGCAGTACTGCAGACATCAATCCTGCACCTTACGACTTTCAGTCTATTTTCTAAACACCTCTTAATGGAGATGTGGCTCAGTGTCAAAGTTAAATGGGCAAAAACATAATCTATGCTAAAGTTATTAGAGGAACTAACATAACCCTTGCTTCTGGTAGTTCTTGGACTTAAGTCAACCACATAAATTTCATTCTATTAATTTACTCATCCTGCTTTATCTCAAATATCTTCATCCTTTCACACTTCCTAATTAACTATCAGTATTTTTCCTGAGTGAAATTATAAAAAAGTTAAACCCTTCTACCAAAAGTACAAAGACAAATAAAATATAGAACAATACAAACCCAGTTATACAGCACTGCAAGTGCAGAAATTCTTCATGTTGTTGCTCTTTATCATTGGCCCCCAATAAAAAACATAGCAAAGAATTCAGTTATCCAAAATATTTTGCAGTACTCTGATTAGATTCTTCAGACCATAAATATAGCCCTCATCCTTTGCGTTGCTAGGAAACACATGAGCAAAATCAATCATTCGAACTTCAACATTTGCACTTTCCTTGGTCTCTGCTGGCATGTGATAGAAAACTTTTTCCAGTTGGGGTAGAACATTTCCATTTAGGTGCTCCTGTGTAATGCATGTGCTGGTTTTCCACACATGGTCTTGCTCTGAGTTTTCAACTTTTAGAGAGAGCTGACTGTGGTGCTTCTTCGAGCATGCCTTTTTGTGAAGTGCATAAAATTCAGACAAGCTTTTACTTACAGAGGCTTCAATTTTTCCATTCTCTGTAGAATTTATTACATTAATATTATTATTATACTCCAATACATCTCCACCTGCTAACAGGCCTTTGGGCACCCTTCTCTTCTCTGACAAGGTGACATCACTCAACCGCACAGTTGTCGCTTGACATGAACCTTCATAGACAAACAGCAATGAGCTTGCATAGAAGTTGAGTTGTGTCTGGCCCTCAAACCACTCCAAAATTTTTTCAACCTTCTGAATGCTGGCAGCTACCACATCTTTTCTCAAGCAGTACCCACTGTGGAAAAACTTTGAGATGCCTGCAAGAAATACACACATACTTGGATTATTTTAATTTCTGAACGGAAAACAAACGATTTTTATTTTTTGGGGGATGAGTATAGCTCTTATTTGAAGGAATAGACACCATTCAGGTAGTTTCTGTTCAGGCAATTATTAACTAAACCCAAAGTGAACCTAAGAACTCTAAGACCTTCAGTCACATCACCTGCTGTGTAATACTACAGCTTGGGATTGGGGTGTAAGTAAATGTACCAAGTACATAGTAAATGAACATGGTTCCTACTCCCAGGTCAGTTTAACGAGTATCTGGACAGTTTTGGGCAGGGACCCATCAAATTCTCCATGTATAAATAGGCTTAAGAAGCTTGTTATTATGAGCGTGTTCATGTGTACACCTTCTGTTCCTTGCTGGGGGACAGATGAGCAGGTGTCTAATAACTAGTTTGCAATAATTATCACCAAACAGCCCCATTTCTGTTCATTGTTAATGTAGAGCAACATGTGGACTGACTTCAACTGATAAAGTCCTTTGAACTGAAAAATGCTGTCATAGTAGCTTTCTAATAGAAGTAATACAAAATACACTTAGATATTCACAGAAGACTACAGACAAAAAAAATAATTTATAATGAAAGCATGTAATACTTTTAAGTATTTCTATTTCATTATAGTTTCAAAGCTGCAAAATGGAATTCTAGAATTCTCTCTTTATTAGTAGTAAAAGAGACACGAGGAGAAAATTCCTATAGTCTGCAGTGCTGTTACAGCCAACAGCCCACTTAATTTCCAATTGACAGGCAGCTCAAATACTACCGGGAACAGCCAAAGAACTGTCTGACATGAGGACAAAATGGACTTTTGAAACGGGAACACCCAGACCAAGAACACTTTTTCCAAACTGTTCTATAAATAAGTATTTAAATGAAAAAATCCAAGCCCACCAAGTTCTGACACTCCAATCCCCTTACTTACCATCCTTTACTGTTTCCTTGGTCAAGCTCCTTCCATAGTGCTGGTTTTGCGTCTCATAGCTGTCCGAAGACACGTGGTACACCTGAAAGAGGCAAGAAGGGGGCTCCCTATGTATTTTAAACCACTAGTATCTCTGCAGAGCAAGAGACACCTCACAGGCCACAAAACATTTAGCCCTCACAGTTTTTATGTTTCTTGCAGTGCCCAGCACTGTACTGCTCTCCCAAGCTCTCCCTTCAGCTCTTGGGCTCCAAGCTACAGCTTTCCTGTGCTAGAAACATCCTGGTAGTGGCAAAAGACAATGCACCCATTACAGGGAACTCTTTCAGAAGGCCTTGCAAATCACAACTGAGATGTGAAACTATCAGACCCTTATCTGTGTTACTGAGGATGTTAAATCAGTAAGACAACAAAGCAAAAATTTCAATGCAATTATTTTGAGTTCTAGAAACTATACAACTAAATAGCACAAGAGCAAAACAGTAAGAATTACTGTATGCGACCACCAAGGCCCAGCTCCATAAGACCCATCTGCAATTGTCAGCACAAATAAGGCTGCACTAAATAAATGGCAGCAAGTTTTTGCAAACAAGCAAACGCTGGTTCCAGCATCAACAGCATACTTCAGCTCTCATCTGAAAGGGAGGCAACTCACATGGGTACAGTTCTGTCCATATCAGGAATTGTACAAGCTTAAGAACTTAATTTGAAACTGCTTTACATATAGACATATCTTCTCTCACACTGAAATATTTCCACAGCAGAAATGTGCAAGGCAGCAAAACCCAAGTATAATTTGTCTATGAGAGTGTAGACAATTTTTATTTGCAGAAATAATGGTGTTACCAAGCAGGCAGTTGTCTCTGGCAGGAATTTGGTGCTTAGCACTTGTTCAGACCACCCATCCCTGTGGCACCCACCCCATCCACAGCCCTGCCCTCCCTTTACTGCTGTAAACAGAGAGGCTCCCACTTAAAGAGAGTCAGGGCACACTACTGAGGTGCCTGCTCCTCATCTCTCCTCTGGGGCCTTATTCTTGCTGAAGCCAACCAATGAAGTCCACAATAGTGAAAAAGCAGCAATAAAAATGAATGGTACAGAAGCATTAAATAAAGAAAATAGAATTCCCTGTTTTCATTACAGCCCATCACCCTGAAATGTCTCTCCCCCATCCAAACAAAAATAAATCCAGTACGATTATACAGATCCCCACCTCCTGTTTTTCAAAGCAGCTGGGAAGAACAGTCTCAAATAGCTTTTATTTTGACAAAAAGATAGAAGTAACTAAACCCAGTTCTCCAGGAACTTCAATTATAGTGCATAGAAACTGACTTTAAGTCACCAACCATGAACTGAAGGGGAAGTAAACAGTTCCCATTATTTTAAAAAAAAACAAAGAGCCGTAAGTCTAAACGTTTGATCTCAGTAGCAGAGAAACTTCAAACACTGTAACGATACTTGGAGAAACTGAGGCCTCCATGTCTATGAAATGAAGAAGGCTATTGCAGAGATGAATTACTCTAAAATTGCATCTGACAACTGTGATTTTGGTTTCACAGGAACAGCAATTTTTCTCCACTTAGTTTTTGCTGTTTTTTTTCCAAAGCACATGAAAGAAGTACAGCATATACCCAAAGATTACTTATGTAAACACTTCAGGTACAAAAGTATCCCTCAAAAACATACCAAAAGTTTCAAAACTTTTTAAAGAGCTACAAGTCAAAGGCAATTAAATAAAGAATAATATTGCTTAGAAAGAGAATCAAAAGTCTGATGACTACAACTAAATTTTCACTAGCTGTGACTTCATTTTAATGATATTAAGTGCTCTCATGGAGCTGGCCCAGGAGCAGCTTTCTGCAGACATCAGCGCTGCAGCAGTACCTGACCAAATCATCTTGTTTACCAGAACCATACCTCTTCCTGGAGGAGCTGTAGTTTTTGTGACATGGGCACTAGCTCAAACATGCTGATTAAGATCTGCAAGCTCATTTTGCTTTCCAAAGAAACTCTGGAGCAGCACATCTGTGTGAAGACCCTGTGCTTCTGAACTGGGTTTCTCAAGAAGCTGCCCCACCTCTTCTTATAATTTGAACCAAAAAAAAAAAAAAAAAAAATTTGAAAACCATTCCCCAAATGTTTTTCTATATAGCTTACAAACACCAAGCTGGATGGATGTTCATGCTGCATTAACAGCATATTTTTAACTATACAAACAGTCAGTGACAGAGCACCAAGTCCCAGACCCACAGCATGAGTGTAATTAATGTATGTGTTTAACTGCCTTGTGCACTCAGAAGGCACTCAGTCACCAAGAGGCTTGGCTACAGCCAGTGGCATTAAAGGACAACAGATCTGCATAATCACAAAAACCACCTCTTACCATCACCTTGAGACTCTGTGCAACTGCAGGAAGAGACTAGCTGAACATTCCTGGAAAGCCTCACTCAAATATAGATACACTACACCTCATTCTGAAAGGAAGGGAGCTGAAAACCAAGTTCAAACAGAAACAATCTCTCACCAGCCCTTGCTCCATCCTCACCCATGCAAACACAGGGATAGCTGTGCTGGAGGAACAGGAGGCTAAAATCAACTTCCTATTTGACAGACCTTTTGCTCTATTGTGTCTTTGTTCACATAGTCACTACCAATCATCTGCTATTAACCCTTCCCAAAATGACATTTTGCTTTTGAACCAAGCTTTTTCTGTATCCCTCTTGTTGCAGCTGTCTGTACTAGCCCATTTCTGTCATAACAATGACAAGTCAGATCTGTAACCTTAATAGCAGCCAAGAAACTATTAGGCAGGAAAATCTCATTTCTTGTCTACCTGCGACAGCTTGTTATGTGTTTCCTCTGTATCCAGCGGCAGGTTTCCTGCTGAGTGGAAGATAAAGAAAACTTTCTATGAGCTACAAAAACACTGCCCACAAGAACCCTCCTGCCTCATTAGTCATTTTTATATGTTCTTACTATGCAAAATCAGAGCTGTTCTGGTTGACAGTGCAAAGGCTTCTCCTTGTGCCTACAAGTAGCTTCCACTCAGTTAGCTTCCTGTATGAATGGCTCTGGAATCCAGCAAGCTAACAGGTGCAGTTTACAACTAGGAGCAGTAGTGACTCTGTATGGGTAGCACATCAAAAAATCCAGACTATTAACTGTTGAGGGAAATGATATTATAAACCTGCACTTGGCTTTTGTCTCCCTGTGAGGTGTTCAGTCATTGCTGTTTGCATACCAAAACAGCTTTTGGTACATTTTTTTAAATACAGTTCCTTCTTTTTTGTACCCTTTTTTCAGTTACAGTTCCTCCATATGATATTCCTGGACTGATGGAAACCTTGAATTAAAATAAGAAGTTGGTCCAGCACAATCTTTAAAAAAGCACAACCCTTGCAAGGTCTCAGCAAAGATACAGAATTTGAAGCTTTGCATCTTCAACTTTAGGACATTAAACCAAAGGCAAACAGATATCAAATGTTACGTAATGTTAATTATGGTAGTTCAGTACTGCTGGAGTCTGAGATACAGAGTGTGTGCCCTTGTTTCTAATACTTAAAGATCCAGAAAAACACTGAATTTCATATAACATGAAAATCATGAGCATGGTGATACATGAGAACAAACGTTGTAGATAGAAAAAGCTAAAAGTGTAAGTGTGTAGATTAAAAAGTTTTCTTAAATCACTGGGTGAAAAAGTTAGAGAACAAGAGACAAGATGGAGGATTTAGGGTGTTGTCTCTTGTCCCTTCTTCTTTCTTCTTCATGTTCTTCTCCTAGAGGTTTTTGGGTAGTAGTAAGTGATTGGACAGAAAATGCCACAGTGCAGCACATAGGTGAAGGGTCATTAAGAAAAATATATACATGTCTATTGTTAATTGGGTAAAAATAGGTATAAAGATAAAAGAACTGCATACTTCGGGGCCATTTTGTGCATCAGACACGAAGCGTGCCACAAGGCCTTGTTTGTACCATCAGAAGAAAGAAATGTACCAGATTACAAAGATATAACCTTGTGCAGCCAGCCTAGAAAGACCTGACAAGTTTTGTTATGACCTTTTAATAAACACGAGAAACAAGATTCTAATGAGCTCAGGAGTTTTCTTCAAATCATAAGAACTGAGATAAGCAGGGCTCCCCACGAGGGAGGATCCAAAAAGAATTCAGTCCAAAGGAGGCTGAGAAATCCAGGAAGAAAAAGAAAAATACAGAAGAAATGCAGCAGAATGAGAGAAACAGAAAAAGGATTTTTTAGAGAAAAGTTACAAGTACCAATGTCCATGGTAAGGCAGAAAAATGTATATACTGTTCAAATACTGTGGCAACTCCCTGACTTCCAGAAAGTACAATTTAAATACATGTTCAAGCACTATCTGGGGGAGATACTACTGGCACAAATAAAAATCCCTATTCAGTAATTTGCAGAGTTCTTTCAAATCTGCAAAAAAATATCTGCTAATCCACATCACTTTCCCAAAGTGGGAAAAATAACCCCAACTGAGCAGGCCTGTAGAACACTACAGAGCACCCGGAGAGTGAGGACAGACTCAGCAACATGCACAGTATAGACCTGTGTGGCACTGGCATTCCCATGGTGCCTATAAAGCAGCTTCCTGTGCAGCTCCCAATGCCCATCCCTGCTCCCCTGCACACCCCATACAAGGGCAGCGTGGGATCTGGTATCCTAAGCAAGGACAAAGAGATTCAAGATACATGCTCTGATGCTGAGGCATCCAGACTCGACAATGCCAAGCTTCCCACTCCTCGGATTTTTTCTGTAAATACACCTACCAGTTGTCTACAGATAGGGGTGAGTGAATGTTTAGACATAACACAGAAGCTTCTGTTTACAATAAGGCACCTCTGCACTCCTGAGAGCATCTGAAGGTCAGTACCCAGCTGCTACCGAAGCTAGAGCCACAAGCTAAAAGTGGGAATAAGCAGGTGGCATCCCAACTCATCTAGGCACATCCAACACCAGCATCCATCCTCCAGCCCTGCAGAGACCCTCCTAGTGCTAGGCCAAGACCCACACCCACCCACTTCTGGCTGTACCCCATGACTGTCCCAATATAAATACATGTTTCCTTCATGCTCAAGTAACCCAGGTTTCTCTACAGGCCCTTTATCCTGCCACAGTGGAAGATCTAAAAGAGTTTCAACAGGCCTTATTTTTTTTTTTTTAAAAAGAAAGCAAAGCAAGGATTTGAAGAAAAAAATAATAAAGGGAGAATTTTTGTTTAAAAACATTCTCTTATTTGATATCTCTGCTTTATAGTAATGCTCTCACATTTCCACTGCTGCTGAGAGCATGCCCAGTTATCCAAATCCATTTATCTAAACATGTCATTCCCTAATTTTTACCTTTTGAAACTTAATTTATTGTTGCTAGATGACAAATGATGAAAGTACACACATCTCTGCTTGCTGCTGCCTTGAAAATTCAGCACAGGAAGGATGCATCCCTGCTCCTTCATTTCCAAGACTATACTTAGATATTACTCTGACCATTTTGCTTCCTTGTTCCTCTGGACTACTTTGAATGAATGTATGACTAATACATATTTGAATGAATATGACTAAGAGCACCTCCAAATGCTTTGACAGTCAATATAAAGTGTTAGTCAAGTCCTTACAAAAAAAAGTTGTAGAATGAAATTATGTTGAAATTTAACCAGTGAAAAAGCAGGCTATTAATCTCCTAAATAAAATAAACTACAACACTGCAATTAAATCATGAACCATCTTAAAAATAACTTAATACAGTAGTTTTAGACTCGCAGAACTTCCATGAAGCATCTCATTAGAATAAATTTATTTTATGTAATAAAATACCACCTGCTCCAGGCTTGGGAGATTTTTTTTTTCAGAGCTTTCATCTGGTTTCTTTGGGTTAGGGTTTTATTTATTTTTCATTTCATGGATGTTTTTGTTTGTTTTCTTTTAGGTTTTGTTTTGCTTTGTCTTCCTGTTTTCTTAGACATGAAAGCTTTAATTAGACTTATAAATGTAAAAACTCCAGTTCTGGTAATTTTTTAGTGTAGAAGAATCTGAACTAGATGCAAGATATAATGCTGACTTCTCTTCTAAATCTTGTTACTAACTTGTGAAAACTACCACAATACTAAAAAGAGTTCACAAAAACCTCATAGAGTCAGCTACAGTCAATTTGAAAATATCCTGCAGAATCGTGTGCTATAAATTAGAAAATTGATTTTTAAATTCATTGTGCTTGTACTCAATAGCACGCAGAATGCTCTGTATTTAACACTGCCTGTGCCACGAAGTGATTTCTTAATTGTTTTGTATGTCTACTACAGAAACCAAATTACAATTTGTATTTTTGCTACTGCAACGGTACCTGAGACTTCCAACTTCTACATAAACTCTAACTACTTTCATAACAAATCATGTCCATTCTGATGGAATCCCAGAACAATCTGGTTTCAAAGGGACCTTAAAGACATCCCAGTTCCAATCCCCTGCCATGGGCAGGGTCACGTTTCACTAAATTAGGTGCTCCATGTCCCATCCAACCTGGCCTTGGGCAATTCCAGGGATCCAGGGACATCTATTAAAGAAAGGAACTTCAAGGAACTTCCCCACTAAATACAGAATTGTTTTTAAACTATGTTATTAAAATAACTGTGCTTTCTAAGTGTATTTCCATGCATCTATTCTGTCTATTCAGTGTGTTAAGCTAAATACAGGTCAAATGCCAGAACTGTGTACATAAATTAACGCTGGGCTAGACAGCAGAATCGTATTTTTAAGGACACACCATATGAACAGACAACTGCTTGCCTACCAATGCATAAGAAAAAGCTGCTTCAATAGCCTCTGGGGTAAAAAACCACTGTAAATAGATTTTGGGGTAAAACCCCCACCTATAACACTTTTTTCCTTGCATCTCTTCATGACAACTCATAGGATGGGTGCTTTAGGAAAAGCGTAGCTACATTCTCTTTTTCCTGGCCTTCTCCTTCTTTGTCTTGTAAAAATTTACCACACAAACCCACCTCTGTGGTAAAAAAACACTGAATGGAGAGTTTAAAACCAAACCTCTGTACTTCCTTGTTACATCATGTTTTGTCCAGCAAACAGGAACAACCTTCATCTAACACATGAGCTGTTCTGGGCAGTACATATCCATGTAGGAGTGTTTCATATTATGGCCAGAATGTTGCAAAAATAAAGCAAGCAGACAGGCTGAAAACATCCCATAATGAAGAGGCAGAGAACACGCCTTGTGAATTCAGACTTTGCCAAGTGCTGTGTGAGGGCAGAAGGAACCTTTTAAGTTCTCTTTGGAAAACAGCTTCCAACATGCAATTGGATGCCAAAGGCAAAAATGCAAATCTCATCTAGTTAAACACTAGATGGAAAACTGCATTCCTTGGGACAATCATCATTATACATCCAGTCTGAATTAAGGGATTGAAAAAAATTCTGCAATAGGACAAAGACACACATAAGTGACAATGTTAGAAACAATAGTCACAAGCAAACCATAGAAGCAATCATTCCTTCTGCACTGACATAAAACAAAGGACAGGAAGTACACTGTTTTACAAATAAGATAAGAAAGGTTACATAATGACATAAACTAAATCCAAAGTTATAATCTCTAACCTTCCTTTTCCATCCAAACTGGCTCTTTTTTGACTTAACTCCCACATTCTTGCTCATAGGCTTACATAATTACTACTCATGACCACTATAATTTCTATAGTAGCTTACCTCAAGGCAGAGTTAAGGGCTGGGAGGCTGGGCAGTTCTGCACAAAACATTACAGAGATACTAGAATTATCTTGAACAATGATGCAATCTGGCTGCTGTTGCTATTGAACAGCAAAGGGGAAGGTTATCAAAGTCTCCAGCCATTTATGCATGTTGATGCAGAGCTTGGGGAGCCCTGGCTACGTGTGTGAAAAGAAAAACAAAAATCTCACATCAAAAGGAAAGTTATTTCTTTATATCACTGCAGAAAATTTTTGAATTCCATCAGGAGGTCAGCAACATCAATGTATTTCTCTTACTGAGCCACAAATGTTCTGTACAGTTTTTCTTTACATTGAAGTTTTAAAGTAGCCAATATACACATATTGACTCAGTATTTTTAAGAGTACTAAGAGTTAATAGGGATGACTGCATGCCCAACTAACCTTCCCCTGACAGCCATTCCTTGAGTCTGCAAATATCAAAGGAAGTTTCCTTTTGATGGAAAGCTTTTTAAAACATAAAACATAAGCAGCTGTTCACAACTATATGCATCACCTCTGCAGAACATCAGCAGCTGTTCGTGGTTATATGCATGACCTCTGAGAGCTTACTTATTCTTCCCTAAATAGAAAACTTATGTAAAATTATTTTCATTTAAAAACACAGCGTGAAGATGAAAAATGTGGAGGATACAGCTCATTGTTAAATTATTATAAAAACTGGTTTGGTATGTAAATCTCTGATATAAGCCTGCAAGAAAACAAACACAAAAATCCTCTTCACAATCTTAAATATCTGTTGTGGTTGTGAATAATTAATTGCAGCTATACTCAGTTTTAAACACCCAGCCCCTCTCTTGTACACATATACAGTACCCAGCTTGCAAATAGCTTGCCCTAATGAACTCAGCCAAGTTAAATAATTGTTTTGAAGCAGAGCAGTGCTTTGGAACAGATTTCACATGACAGCTAATACCAGCACTACCAAGACATTAACACTGTATTTATGTAAAACTCAAGAGGAATGTTCTTTGCTAAAAAAAACAGTTGCTGTAAATGGTGTGGGACAAGAGGCCTGAGCATAAACTGAAAGTGAAGACAAAACAAGTTCTTACCCTCATTCCAAGAACCAAAAAGCCGATCTCTTCCATCAGGGGGTACTTGCTGACCTGCTGCTGTATCTTCTCTGCTGAAGCATATGGATCATAACTTTTCTTACCTATTTTTACATCCATTATGCATGGCTTATTAAACTTACGGGTCACATCTTCCAGTTTTAGATATATATCTGTCAAAAAACCAAGACTTTTGTTAACAGTGTGTCAAAGCAAAATAATTACATAGCTTCTGCTGAATACCTGTGGAGGAACGGGAATAGTTTAAAACTTAACATAACATGAATTCTTTAAGAGTCAAATTTGTCTCTGAATACAGACTAAATCATGATCACTGACACCCACAAATTCTATTGCTATGAAAATCTAAATGCTTTATTGTTTAGAAAATTGTATACAATTAACGTGTTAACCTAGCATTCAAATTGTTGCCCAGATAAAATCCATGAGTAGCTTTTATTAAGTCATTACCATATCACAAAGAGTATTACTAACCACATTCCAATACAGACTTTGCAGCTGTGTGGCTGGTTTTGTAATTCAGATGGTCTCTTGTGTCATTTTAAAAATGAAGTGAGAATTCCAGTCCTAGCCTTCAGGGACTGAAGTACAGATCATTTTGCTTCTTTTTATCCCACTCCCATCTGCACTCATTTCTCATAGCACACCTTTTGGAGGAAACATTCTTGGAATCCCAGGCTGCCTTTCATCCACTTCTAACAGTCGCTTTGGGAGGGTGGCTGGACAAAGGAAACCCCAAAAGTACTTAGAGTGCCTGAAGATTTAAAGGAGTATCTAAAACCTGATGAAATTTATCATTACCAGCATGACCCTCACACTGACTATGAGAACACAACAAGGAAATGGACTTCCATTAGTACACCCACCCTCTCCCAGACAGCTCTGCTTGGGAGACAGCTGCACACACCTCCAGGCCTTGCTAGGACGCAGCATAACCAAGGCAACACACAGCATCAACACTGGTCTCATTCTTCATATGTGGTTTGTAAATCCACCTGTCGCCAGGCACAAACTTCAAGTCTGCTTTTCTGTCCAGTACAGCCTTTTCCATAAATGATTTCTTTGGCTTTAATACAGTCTGAATACAAAAAAAAACATTGTATTATATCCTATTCCTGCAGCATGATCTAAAATGGGATTGTGAGAGAAAGCAAAACTAGATCAAGTTTTAAAAGAGGCACGAAGTACCTTGTTTGAAAGCTGTACAGACAGGTAACAAAACCAGTCTGAGTCAAAATAAGGTGAACAAGTGTTACAGTAGACAGCACTGCCAGCAGACTCCAACTACTCACAGACTCTGGCTGCAGGCCCTAGCAGACTCTAACTGCAGGCGCCAACTCCCAGCAGACTCCAACTCACAGCAGGGCCAGCAAAAACAAAACAAAACCAAACCTCCCAAAAACCCCCCTACAAAAAAAAAAAAACCTCTCAACAAGCTAACCCACCCTTTTTTAACACCCATCCTCACTGGACATAGGTGTAACCCATTAAGGCAAGGCTATTCCTCCTCTTTGGTAATTATACAGCTGCAACTCATCAGGGACAACGTTACTTGCAATCCATTCTCCTACAAACAAGCAATATTTCATATATATTTAATAAGTAGAAGCACTTTCTTAAGGAAAATAAATGAAAGGGACTTTACTACTTTAAGTCCTACTGAGAGCTTCAGTTTCTACACCATCATGATCTAATGTACTACTTTCTCACACAGTATGTATGTATTAATTTAAACAGGTTTGATTTAATCCCTAGATGCCTGTTTTCTGTATAAATAGAACTAGGAATTTTGTTCATGTAGTCATTTTCAGAAAAACATGTCAAACCAATATACTAATTTAAAAACAAAACAAAACTACTCTTCTACTAACTCACTTCACCAGCTTTCAGTATCCTGTGGGCTACAGGATCAATCTAGCTACAGCAAAACGAGTTTTATTATAGACTAGCTCACCCACTAATTGCAACTGCAGGAAAACATCCAAGCTGAAATAACTCGTAGTTGACTTTGAGGAGTCCTAGGCAGCCAATATACTCCATATTTGCCCACTGAATAACCTGAAAGGAGAAGCAGGACAAATACTCCCCCTACCAGGCAACATATTCTGTATCACCTGAATTGCAGGTGCTACTTTCACTCTTCAAAGCTGTTATACAGAGGTCTAATTCAGTCAGATATTAGCAGAGCTTTTGCAGGACTTTGACAAACCACTACCAGTACCTGGGGAGTCCATAAAATCTGTTAGACATCTCTTATTAAAAAAAAATCTAAGTGTCATCTTTCTGACTCTTTTTGCATATTACAGAAATCACTGCAATCAACAGATTTGTGTCATCAGTCTAAAACAATGCAGAAAATAACTAAATAAAGTTCAAGGTTTTCAGTACATAGCTCTCAAAAGCAAAGAGCCACAGGTTTACATGGGAGGTGAAGGAAGACAGTAAATGCAACAAAATTTTAGAAAAAGGCTGCAGTCCTTCACCACCCATTCCAAAATACTTTGGAGCATGTTGCAAGCACTCCAGAATCCAACTATTAGAATTAAAAAAATTATACAAATTGTTTAGATGCAATGTTCTCATCAGCCCTAAAATAAAACCATACAGAAAGTAGTACCCATGAGTATCTGCTGTCCTCTACTTCAATGGTCTATTTCCCCCTTTTTATCCATGCATTCAGCACCTCCCAAATACTTAAAAGTTCTAAATATCTGTCACTTTGTTGTTCCCCATCCTTTTCAGATTTCTTAAAACTAGACTACCTTACCAACCTCCTAAAACTGTAACAGTAACTATTTTTTTTAAAATTAGGCATTAAATTACCTTTGTAGATAACACCAACCCTGAGAAACACTAATTATTTGGCAGAGCCTGTAAATTATCCAGAAATTTCTCACCTCTCTCCCACTTTTTGGAATTAAATATTTCTTGTTAGTTAACCACTAGCTCAGAATCAGGCCTGTTGTATCTGTTAACACACCCCTCTGCTCTCACAAAGCTGTCTGGCCTTGTTGGCAGAGCAATGCCACCCAGATAAAGCACCGTGCTAAGTTACTTTTTCTCATTATTGCTTCAAACAAGTGGATCAATTGTTTACACCCCATTTTTCCTGTCACTGTTTGGTGCCTATTTGCACTGTAGTCAATAGTCTAATGAAAGAGCTTCACAATATTCGTACATATGTAACTTTCACTTCCAGCAGGTAGCCCTATCATACCTCCAAGCACTGAGACTAAGGCAAACAAAGCCTCAGATATCAACTGCTCTCCATTTTCAATTCAGCTACTGCAAGTCTCTGAAGCTCTGACCATAAGTGTCCTTTGCAAGGGCTTCAATGAGCCTGCACCTCAGCCCAGGTAACTAGAGCACTCTCCTCCCTTCTCCTTGCTTGATTAAACAAAACCTGCAGATTTTTCAAGCAATTTAGACTTTCTAAATTATTATGTAGTGCCCTGCTAACACAGTTTGCTTCAGAAAATGTTGCATCTGCCATCTAAAACTAGATTAAATTAAAAACCCCCACGGAGAGAGGTATTCATAAAGATTTTTATATTAAAACTTGCATTGCTAGATAGTCTTGACCATACATTTCAAGGATTTAAATAAATCATTCATCAGAGATTTGCCCTGCCCTTTTCTATTTACTAGTGGCAGGAAGGTGTGACTTAACATATTATTTACATATTTTTACAGTCCAAAAGAAGATAAACCAAAAGACCACCAAAATTCAGCAAGTATCCATGGCATGAACCACTGCAGACTTCAGCACAGACATGCCAGTGCATTCAGTCCTCACTGGAGACAGAAGAGACAAAAATCACTTAAGGCATCTGATTTCTTTTTATAACTTAGGAGACATCTCTCAAAACATAGGAATAAGCAGGGAAGATCCTCAATTGCCTGCAGCAACAAAGGAAGAAAAGAAAGGTTTGAAGTTGGGTTATATGTGTCCTGCTCTCAGGTAACAAAATTAGGTAACACTATGAAATGAGCAGCAATGAAGTTACTTAAAAAAAAACCAAAAAACACAGGCAATAACTAGGCAGTCACACTCAGAAAATTCAGTAGCAGATGGCTCCTATAACTTTGCAACAACTTTTCCACTGCCTTGCGAATAAACTCCAAATATCCACAATGCCAGTGAAGCTAAATTTCAAATCCAACCCATTTTAGATGAGCTTAGGAAAACAGCATCCCATCTCTACCTACATTTCCTCTGCAGTACCACTGGGTATCTGATTTCAGCAGAACAGGAATTATTTTACAAATTGTATTGATACTAGGAGTCCACCCTTTCTATCACATTTCCTACATTCTCATTTACACTTTGTACATTTCACCTCTTTTAGCTAGCAATTTCATCCATTTACCTATATTTTCAGTATAGAATGCTGATGCTTCCCCCTAAATATTTCCCTAAGGCAAAAAATTATATTCTTCACCTTACAAACTGCAGTTCCTGCTTACCTGAAACTCAGAGACTGTCAAAAATCGAGAGTAGAGTAAGTTTGTTTTTTTGTTTTTTTTCAGAAGTCACCTATGACCAATTTAGTAACAATAGGAAATTACTGGGTTCACTACTACTGGGTTGTACGGAGCTGTGATCCCAGAGCCTGCAGAGCAGTGATTGCCAAGGGAAAGGTCAGGTTTCCAGTGTCAAGACTGCAGCAAACATACAAATATATCTTCAATATACATTTAAGAACAAAATACATATACACTCTGCTAAGCTACATCGACTAAGCTACCAGTGACTTTGATTTCTATCAAGACTACAAAGCTCATTAATACTATAGATATAGAATACTATAGATAACAGAATTGGCAGTGCAGTGTTTTGGTTGAATGGTCACCACAGCTTTCTGTGAAGAGGGCACATGACAGTGTACAGCCTTTTCAAGAAGCAAAGCAAACAAAATCAAATGTTTTTCCTCCTTTAAACAGTTATTCCTGCTGCCTATGTCTGAATGACTGGTGGCAAACTTCCAAAATCCAGCCCCATGGTGCACAGGGCTTTTGAATCCTCAAAGCAAAATGAGCAATGTGTTGAATTACTGTCTCTTGGTTAAACCACATATTTTCACATCTTAAGATCATGCTGCAAATAGAAAAAAAATATTTGCAATTAAGAGGGAATATTAAGTGAACTCCA